CTCTCTCTCTCTCTCTATATATATATATATATATATATATATATATATATGTGTGTGTGTGTGTGTGTGAGTGTGTGTGCCTACCTACTCCCACCCATCCTGGAGCTCTGGCTTAACGTACGGCTTCCCACCTCTCAGCTTCGCCATTCTGCGTGCTTCCTCCAGCTCAGCCTCCTCCTTACGCTTGGACTTCTGCGAATTCAAATACTGCAGCACACAGATCAAAACAAGCATCACAAACGTCATGGGATGTGTCAATCCCCAATTACGCTCAGGTGCTATCATATTGTGTATGGTTTCCTGTCTGTTCAACTCCTTCTTCATGGCTGCACGCTCCTCTTCTTCCGTTAGGGGTGTAGTTGTCTCTTCTTCTTTCTTCTCTGGCGTTTTCCTATCACCCTCGTTGAGTACGCGGGCAGTTCTGAACAGCATGCGCTGGCTTGTGCTTACAATACTCGTATTTGACATTATACTTGCCTGCTTGGTAGGATTGGTAGAATTACGCGCCAACGCGTTTGATTGCATGGAAGAATAAGTTCTATTGTGGAGTAGGCGTACCTGTTGTTGATGTGTGAATATGCGGCCGACTTGAGGGAATCTCCACAGAGATAACTGTAGTGGTTTATATACGTCCTTCGCCTGTGTGTGTATCGTTCGCGCAACACATGGGAAGCGTTTTAAACGTGCAAGACTGGAGACGAATTTGGTACCCAGCATTATGTAATGATATATAGTATACACCGTTAGCAATGTGTATTCAGTCTCGACAAAGAGAGTCCTTTAATTATAGTACCGTCTATTGGTACCCCTACAAAGTAGATAGTGCTTCTACTTCCCTTAACAAGTACACCGTGCGGCCAAGCCTTGTAATAAGTATGTATATATAGATAGCAATAGAATGATATTTATACTAAATAAATATAATGACACACATCCTGATTTCCAGCGAAGCATGTCAAGGCCGTCAGGGGCTATGGCATTTATTTACGTTTTATACCAAAAAAAAATATCTCTAGAAGGGGTCATATGTTTACGTTTTTACGTTTACGTTCACGTTATTTAGCCGTTTACATTCAACTTTTATTTATGAGCGCCATAAATTGGGTCTTGGAGACTGGAGTCTTGGGCTATCGTTCATCCAAGAGACCTAAGAACATCATCATCCATGGTTTAATAAGCTCCAACCTGCCATGTATTATGAACACCTATGGACTCCGACATAGGGCGAAAACCGATGGATGAGGCGCATAATACATGCGAACATCTCTATATTCGTATAAAAATACAGTGTTGAAATTTCAAACCACGTTGTAAATTGCAAACCCCTATTGGGTAGGCTGAGCTGTATAGTCAGCGATAGTGTGAATGCAACTCACAACCATTGTTGCAGGCATATACCGAAGATCTGGATATTCACATTAGCGACACGCATCCCAATTCGAAGTATGATCCCAGTTAAGGCTGAGATGTGCACCCGATTTTGCAACGTTTAATCACAATTTTTGTCCTTCACATTATTAAAGACGCCAAAAACCAGAATATTAAACCTGCTTGAAATGCTGACAAATACCAAACTAGTAGAAAATACGTAGTCCAATTATGATCTCAATACTTTTGCTACACTAAGCATAGTCAAACTTTTTCACTGTTCTCTCCGGTAATCAACGGTAAAATCCTGCTGAATATTGCAACTATTAACACGAATACAATTAAAACCTTTCTGCAATTTCCTATTAATATACTGTGAATTTAAGAGTATATATATATATATATATATAGTGTGTGTGTGTATACGTATATGTCTAGTTATATAT